ATTCTTTGGCTTGGTTCGGGTGGTTGTTGGAATTAGGAAATTGCCCCTTAATTGTGAAGGTTTGGGAAGGAGTGAAACCGCCGGAAACGTCAGGTGAAGTTCAGCCGGTGAGTTTCCGTGAGAGAAATGGAGAGTTGGTTTGTATATGGCGGGGTTTTTTTTATTTAAATAATTATTAAAATACTGTCACTGTCATTCAGAAGGCCTTACTCTGAAAAGAGTCAGAACATTTCAGTTTGATGTTTCAAAACAAACTTTTTCAGATTTTCACCCTGAAGTAGAATTTTTTTAATTTAAAAATGACTGGGATGGGTGGAGGGTTGAGATTTGAGTGGCCTTCTAAAGAAAGCGAGGTTTTGCTTTGCCTTCTTCGAACATGCTTCATCAAGCTCCTCACGTTTTTGGACTCCCATTTGTTTGAAGAGCCCACCCAAATTTTGCTCCAGCTTACCTTCTAATTAGAAGCTTGGTTTTTTACTTTGTTCACAATTTTACTTTGTTGCACAGCACTGGATGTGTGATCTCCTGGAAAAGCTGGGGTTTATGGGAGGATTACAGATCAGATCATGAACTGTGATTGAATTCTGCAAAGCCTTATTCATGTACCTAGCTGTTTGACACAGCGAGTGGTTCCATGGACCGTCATGGGGCTCTTCTCTGTCTGAAGCTCACAAGCGAAGGTCTTTGCAGGGCCATGGTCATTTTCAGGGACCAGAGAGAAGTTACAACTATGTGGTAATCGGACCAGGAAGGAAAAGGCAATGAAAGAACTACAAAGAGCAACAGGCAGTTTGGAATTTGGGAAGAAATCATTATCAACCACCATATAGTTGCAGCTGGGGATCCAGCGTGGCTCCAACAATACCTTATTTTTCAGAAGCAGCTCTTCTCTTAGTAATGGGTGCATTGTGTATGTTCTCTAAATGCTTTTTCTTTTTATAATAGCTTTTGTTACAAAGCAATTCGCCTTGTATCACATTATTATTCAGTTCCATTTTACATGTATGTAAGCTGCTGTATTTTATAACAAGCTTTTATTTTCTCCCACTCTTAGATAATACATGGCTTCACAAGAGGAAAAGCAAGTTCAGCCCTTTGCAGACATCTTCAATGAAGACGAAGCTGAAAAATCCTTTCTGTTGTCCAAGCCCACTTGCTTAATAATCCTTGGAAAGCCAGTAAGATGTCTGACAGAAGGTTTTTCTTCAGATATTCTGCTAACAATTTTACTTCTCCTTTCTAAACAGTAGTTTTGTGACACTGCTAAAAAGATCAAAACCCTACTTTTTTTTATCTTTTCCACTTTACAAATCCTACAGAGTGTGGTAAAGATTCTGCTCTCATTTAATGAGGCCAATTTTTGGCCTGAGTGACCAGTCAATTACAATTAAAAGTGTTATTACTGTACTTAAAAGTCACATATTGCTCAAAAAGTTTTTGTCTCTTTTCACATTGGCAGCTGGATTATGTTATTTCAGTATTCTAACTTTTAAAAAACTTGACATTTAGACATAGATTAAAGACATAAATAGGCATAAAAGAACCTTCAGGTTAATGTACTGACTTACAGACATGCAATGAGATATTAAGTATTTTAACTGTAATATTAAAACTTTGATGTAATTATATGGCATATATTTGGGAATAACTGAAATCCACCAAGGTGTCCTGATAAGGAGATTTGTATTATATTTTAGCTATAATTCAAGGTCTCTCTTTTTCTTGAATGATTTGTGACCTCCTTTACTTAGAAAATTTGATGTTTTGTAATCCTAGACTTCCCAGATTTCTTTTTCCCACATGTAGGACACTCTATGGGTGGTTTTACATTAGTGCTTTAGTTTGCTGAAGGGGTTCTTTTTTGGTGCAAGGTTGTCTTATGTCTATACTGAATCTGGTATGCACTGAAACTCACCACTGGTGCCCTGAAAGCTACTTTCCTCTTGAACATTGTAGTTGCCCATGAAAGGTACCTTCAGAGCACCCAGCTTCCAGTGTGGACACAAGGTCCTCTAGCAGCTTGCCCTCTGTATTTGTGTGTGATTCCATTAGGTACCACAACAGAGCCTGAAATGACCCTCTGGAAATCTGCTTTGCATTGCCTAGCACGTAGAGAGATAAATGGTGTGCACCTAGAACGGGCAATCAACCCAAACTTCAACGCCAGTTGACCCACCAAATCAAGCCCCAGTCCCTCTCTGCACCACCCCACACACTAATGTAGAGCCGCCCTATGCGGTGCAGCGTGCCGGCACACAGTCACGTGACGGTGGCAGATTATATCATGGGGAACGGCCATAGCGCTAAGATGTGGCTACATTTCCTTTCTTCGAAGACTTCCAGCAGGCTGGAAGGCTCCCAGCCCCTGGTGTTTGCACAGGTCTGCATCCTTTCGCCCTCCTTGGCTCCAGTTGCTGGGTAATGCTTGGCTGCAAATCTTTACGTCTGACCAAACTGAGAAAGGAGGCAGGGATGGTGTTCCGCAGGTGGGTGAGATGTGAACATCACAGTGAGACTGTATAAGGTGATACCAAACAAGTGTGCCTTATGGTCACCACGAGACTTGAAAGAGTGCATTCAGCTCCATAGAAAACTACAGTGGACTGGCTCACCTGGTTTTAACAAATGTCAGATTTCTAACTTTACACAAAAAAGGCAACTTTACATTTTTATAGATGAAACCAGCATAAAATACTCATTGAAAGACAATGCAAAAAACATGTAAGAAATTGATATTCTTATCTGAAATCATTGCCTTCAGTAGCTACTTGATATTAATACAAATTTTAACAAAGGGTTGAAAATGCACAGGCCTGGCAAGAAGATAAGGAATTAAATATTCTATTTTTATAATAATAACTTTTATTTATATGGCTGACATGTAGAGCATCTATCTTACTTAAGATATATCTTTTAAGTTAAAAACATAGTGCCAGTAAAGCAAAACCAAATACATATAATCCCATCACACCTGCAAGATGTAACATATGAGTAGGCTGGAGTGTTTGCTGATATGCAGTTAACTGGGAATGCGATTTATTTCTGTTCTATTACTATTTTTTATCACCAAATGTATCTAGAGCAAACAGGCTGTCGAAAAAGTCTTCTTGTACGCCCTTGAAAAAAGGGCATAATCCTAAGGGTGGAAGATGGTGACTTTTGCAAAATCCCATTCAAGTAGCTGTGCTCTTAGAGGCCTCATTACTCTTGGTTATGTTGGTTCCTCAGGATTCATGTAAGTGATAAAATAAACATTTTGTCAGTATCTAAACCAGATTTGTGGACCAACAAGGTCAATTTTTACGTGTTTGTGGTTTTTGTCAAAGAATAGTATCCCTATGTATCTTACTCAGAAATGGCTGAACAGGTTTGCATCATCATTTCCTTTGAGACTGCAGATAATAAATTTCAGTCCTAAAGAGTTTCATTCATTCCAAAATTCATAGGAATTTATGTGCAAATCATAGCTGAGTTTTAGATAGAGTTACTCAGAAACAAAGTCAGCATAATTGCTTTGTAGATAATTAACTGCAAAGGGCAGTAACAGTATCTTAGTATGATGCTAGGCAGTGTAAAACAGAGGATGGTGTTTAAAAGAGTGATTGAAAGTGTGTGTTTGCCCAGTGCATAACTCAGAGGGCCTAATCCTGGTGCTAGCTTTTAAGTGTTTTTATTGTATGAAAATATATTCTTTAGTGTGTAATATGTTTGGGGTTTTTATCCTTCTGCCCGTTTTTCTTCTAAATGTGTATTTTTCATTTTCAGGGTTCTGGAAAGAAAACATTAGCTAGAAAACTAGCACAAATATGGAAATGCATTTTTGTAGAAGGTAAACATACATTATATTTGGAACACTGCATTGGCTTCATAGTATCTTTTGATTTTCAATATCCTAGCTGTTCCCTGTAGTTCAAAATGGTGCGTTTCTGATTGCAGTAAAGACTAATGATAAGGACCAAGTAGCCATTTTACCAGAAATGAAATTGCTGAAAAATGGCCTTTTAGTTATAGAGAGGCTTAGAAAATAACTTTTTTTTTCCTTATTTTTTCAGAAGGGGATATAGATAACACATAATGATCAAATTCTATTCCCAGTCCTGTAAGGTGATTCATGTGACTGTTCTTCACACAGAGGCAACTCATTCAACTCCAGTGAGCACAGAGATTTTCCAATACAAACCATGAAAAAATAGCAGGACCTTTCCTTTCTATTTGTGCAGTGCCTAATACAAGGCAGGATATACTCCAGGAAACAGAAGTGTAGATTTGAATCAGTATAAGTAATAATGGAAGGAATGGGAGCTGGCACTTTCAAATTTCTAAAATAAAAATATGTGATGGCTTATTTCAGAAAGAAGGTCTAGTTAACTTCTCCCACCATGCATTTACCAGAATACAAGATATCATCTCATTTTTCCAATTTTTTAAGATCTGTAGAGTAAAACCTGTTGCTTATAACATTATCTTATTCCCTATCAACATATCACTAGAGATTTTTTTTTTTCATTTCAAGGCATCTCAGCAATACAGTAGGTTCCCACAAAAATAAGTCTCTGGCAGTTTTGTTTTGTACTCATTTTGTCAGCAATAATTACAAAAAAAATTTAAATCTGTAATTTTTTTTTAAGCCCTGGTAATATTTTTGTATCTGTGACATTATAATTCACATTAAGTTTTATGAAAAAAGAAAACTTTTCCAGCAGATTTCTCCTACCAGTATGAAGACTAATATCTTTTTAAGTAGAAGAAAAGAAAGCACATAATAACTACAAAGCAATTTCGTGACTGCCTCTTTGGGGACACAAAATTATAAATCTGATTTTATGGAATATATGTGTACAGTTGTTCTGATTATGAACTAACTCTTTATATATTGATTTTCATTACATTTTTTCTTTTAAATGTGTCACCCGGTATTTTTTATTGTTCTAATAAAAGCCTTCTAGTGAACAGTGTAACACTTCATATTCCTGTGACTATGTTGAGTTATTTATCAAATGAAGTATCTTTATCTTATTTTGAAGATTTGGAATTATAATATGGTAAAATTCAGTTTTAATAAAGTGCTTTTTTGACTTATGTAAATACAGATTTTTTTTAATTCATAAGATTGTCTAATGAAAAATTAATACCTGGTCCAAAACATAGATCAGACTAAAATTGGAAGGGGCCTTAGGAATGCACTTAAGCCAGTCCACACTGTTTGAATGTATTTAAACCATTACTGACAAATGTCTATCAAATTTGTATTTAAAAATCTCTAGGCAGTCTCTCTCTGCAACACAGTCTTTGCCATTAGAAGGTTTTTCGTAATGACTGATGCAAATCTCACTAATTGCATTTTTATGCCTTATTTCTAGCAGACTCAGGGAATTATTCTTTTCTTCTTTTGTTCATATTTCTTTTAATCTTCTTTTGTCTAGTGTACCCACACATGTGTACTCATGTATATCCCTTCAACTTTTGCTAATAAGTTTTTTTTTCATCTTCCACATCAAAAAAGAAAGAAAGAAAGAAATTCAACATACAGAAACATGAATAATTTAGCTCAGAAATGACATCCAGAGGTCATTGAGTGGAACCTTCCACTCAAAGCAGGGTCAACTAGAGAAGGTTGCTCAGGGCTGTGTCCGACTGAGTCTGGAATATCTCCAAGGACAGAGGCTCCACCACCTCTATGGGCAAGACTCACCAGTGTTTGACCACCTTCATGATGAAAAATTGTTTCCTAATTACTGCATTGGAATTTCTCACGTTCCTACTTGTGTCTGTTACTTCCTGTCCTGTCTGAATTCTGTGAAGGCAGTGCTTCTGTCTGTGCCTTCCCAGTAAGTAGTTTTAGACAGCAATAGGAGGTGTCCTGTTTTCTCCAGGCTGAACAAGGTCAGTTCTTTTGGCCTCTCCTAGTACATTCAACACTTCTAATCTTGGTACCCTTCACTGGACTCGCTCCAGTGTACCAGTATCTGTCCTGCACTGTGTTATTTACTTTAAAAAAAAATCCAAAATAGAGAATTATTAAACAGGAAAAGTGTTTACGGTCTTTTTAATTCGACAAAATACTTTCTATCCATTTATCCAATGCATAGGTCAATACTCATAAATAAAACAGGGCCAGGGTACACATACAGTGCTGATTTTCAGTTGTGTGTATTGCTTGTTAGTAGATTCCCTGTCTCAGTTTTGGCCCATGGCAAATACTGCTCTCCCAAACACCCATTCATAGTGTGAAAGATAGTATCACAACAGTCCTCATTACTAGTAGGAATAGTTTGAAAACAGCCACTATGTTTTGGGAAGAAAGATTTTATCTGTATAGGCATGAGCCACCTGGCTTCAGGACCTTTCCCTGACCTGGTTTATTAGTAATATAGATGTAGCCTCAAGGATCATTCTTCAAAATTTTCATTAAGTGTCTGCTTATTTCAACGGTATAGAAGTATGAAAGACTTCAGGATCATTCTGCTAGATGTCACTGTCCACAGAGACAGAGGGCAGGTCTCTGAATTTGATGGGTGTCAAATTTAGTATTTATTTAATTTTAGGTAATTAGACTATATAAGGAGTAGGTTTTTAAGGGCTTTTCTAAAGCAGATGGTTTTGTGTGTCTAAACAATTCTTTTTCTAAAGCTTGCTTTTAAAATTTGGGAAGTGTTTGAGCTCAAATACTCATCTCTGGATTACACAGCAGTAAGGCTAATTTGATATAAATCAGCAGTTAAAATAATCCTGCAAGGCTGCTGTTGTGCATTTGTCTGTAGTATCTATAGGGTTACATTGTGGAGAAAAACATCTATCCAGACATTGCCAGAAGGCACCATGTTCTGGATGGAAAAAATATAATAATGGCCTTAAATATAATGACTGTACATTCAAAGATAGCCTGGTTGCTTGGAGCACACATACATACTCCTATGTGTGTATGTGTGTATGTATCTGCATGTACATGTCTGTATATAAAATATTTTTTATTAATCGTTTTAATTTTATTCTGTCTGATGTGCTTCATCAGCTTTGGAAGTGATTCAGACGAATATTCATGAAGAAACAGAATATGGGCTTAAGGTAAAGGTCTAATCTTCTAGTAAGTTATGTCACATTCTTGACACATACATATTATATAAAACTGTGTTTTGCATTTTACCTTAGTGTCAAGAATTGCTTTTTAAAGGTCAAAGTATTTCTGAAGAACTGGTTACGGAAATGATTCTGAAAAAGATTGAGTCACCAGAAGTTGCTCATTTTGGTAAGTATATTTATAACCTAAACTTAGAATGAGCTAGCTATAGTTTTGACACACTTTGCATGCATTACTGCTTAAAATTAATTTCTGTTGTGTTAGATGGTATCACTTTTTCCTGTGCTCCTCAGGCTGTGGAATATCCATAAACTGAGAGTGTATTTAGGGATTAAATTACCATTATGGGAGACCAGAAAGTGTCATACCAGTCCTATGTTGTGTTAATTCTGAGAAAATTAATTTGCACGAATTTTAAGTGTTGGTATGACTCTCATTTGACAATATTATCTGCTTAGAAAAGTTTTAGGATTTAAAATACAGATTTCTTTTGCTTCTTTCTTCACTTCTATAACAACAACAACAACAACAACAACAAAACCAGCAAAAATATTTTAAACATTTAAAATATTGAAAAAGAAGGAAAACAGATTATTGAAAATGCAAAGTATTACGATTTTATTTTTTCTTACAACATTGTTTATTCCCTTTGCATTTTGTCACTGTGAGTAAGTTAGATGAGACTAGTATTGGTAGTGGTAATAATTCTTCTTTTTGAGGAAAGATTATGTTAATTAAGGCTGTTAAGATTAGTGATGCAGATCTTGCTAGAGTCTACACCTGCTTTCCTGAAAAGAAAATGAATAAACTAAGTATAAAGAAAGTAAAAGAAAATGTAGTTTCTTTTTCTGGTGCTGACTTCCATTTGAAATTTCCATTATAGGAGAGAGAGAAAGGTATAGTGCCAAGAAAATGTTAAGTTTCTACTGCTCTGAAAACTAACATGCTTCTGTAAGATTTCAGTTGGAATGGGTTTTGTTCCTTCTCTACCCCAAGACTCAACAGTTTTGCAAAAGATGTGGCCTTACCTGGTGAAACCAGGCTTTTAAAAGGTTAGACAAAAGACAGAGAAATAAAGAAGAAATTAAAAAAAAGGAGGTGATGAGGAAACAAAAATGTGAGCGAAGAAGTAGCAGCAGAAATGCCAGACTTTTAATCTATGTCAGGACTTTAATAAAAGTCTGAAGAGATGCCTGTGCCATCTGAGTTCCCCACTTTGAGTCAGTCTGATGATGAGTGTCTAAGATGTGTGTATTGCAGAGGACCACAGAGATCCTAGAGGCTGTAAACATAACTATAAAGTTGATAAAAGTTTGGTTCTTGTAGCCATTTTCTGTATTACAGATGCCCCAAAGCAGAAAGGAATAGAATAACCTACATACTCACTATTTTTCCTACCAACTAGAACTCATCTCCAAAACTAATTTTTGTGAAGTATTTTCTAGTTCTAATAACTTTTTGTATAGCAACTATTATCTTAATATAATGCTTTGGAAAGCTTAAGTAGGCTTTCAGCAGGAACTAATCAGTCAATTTGCTATTAATTATTCATGAAAGATTTTAGAAACAGAGTTGTATGAGAGGCTGACTTTTTAATTTTAAATTTTTTTATTAATATTGTAAAATACAAGTTTCTAAGCAGTGCACACAATAAGGAATTATTTTCAGTTATATTCTCCTTACTTAAATAATGAACATATTACATTGGAGACTGATCACAGAATCATAGAATCACAGGATGGTAGGAGTTGGAAGGGACCTCTGGAGATCATCTGGTCCAACTCCCCCGCCAAAGCAGGTTAACCTAGAGCATGTGGTACTTTTGAATATCTCTGACATCAGAGATATTCAAAAGTGCTAAAGCAAATGATAATATTTTAAAATTGTAAGTCACTAATATCAGATTTTTTTTTTTTTTGCTTCTGAAGGAGGTCAGATATGAAGCTTCTAAGCTATTTCTTGAAATAAACAATGTCTCTTTTTAAAATAACATTAGCACTGGAAAGTAACAAGCGTACTTGTATTTTAGGGTATTATAGGTAAGAAAATACAGAATTGTAACCTCTATGTAGCTGATATGCTTGCTAATCTTTTTTTTTAAAATAGAACAAGAAAACAACTAGAAGTTCATATCATGTTAACCTAAATAATATTTGCAAAGGAAAAATCTGTGTCATTATCACAGGGAAAACTGCTCAATTAGCATGATTTATATCAAATCAGGACCAAAGTTGTTTATTGATTCATTAATGGCAAGTAATTAACTGACAATCAGTGAACTAGTGACGAGTGAAGAGGTTCAGTTTCAGCCACACAACAGACAAGCCACAGCACTAGGTCCTTGCCAAATCTTAACACTTACAAGTTTCTGAACACCCTCCTAAAACTAATTCCAAAGAGTATACACGAACTTTGACTCTCTCAAAGATGGGTGGAAGTTACGAGCCCACATTCCCTTTTCTGAGAACGCATGTTCACCCATTTAAGCACACTTTCTGCTGGAGATGTGGGTGCTCTAGCTGTGTCTGTGTGTGCCATTTCCTCCAGTCTACTAAGCCACACACCAGTGAGAAGGCTCCCCATGAGCTCACATACATGCACTCGAGGTGTGTTTAACCCTGTTCTGTCAGTCCAGTAGTTGAAATGCTGGTTACTCACAGCCTCCAACAGGGAGGCCTAGACAGCAGGTTGTAGTGCTGGCACATCAAACCTGGTTAGGCTGCTGGTCTTTTACCTTGCTCTTACTCTATGGTCTCTTCACCTAGTCACAAATTTTAAGGCTTCTTTTCAAGATGAGTCCTTCCCTCCTCAAAACTTTCTTGGTAATCCCCTGGTTGCTGTTTGATCTGGTTGATTGTTGCCTTAGGTAAACTTCATCATTGTTAGTCTCCCCTCAACCTTATCGGTTTGGGGGCAAACACCTTCTCAGAGAAGAAGCAGTATGGGATAATCTTTTCCCATGTTACACTCCCATTCCTTTCACATCAGCTGCTGCTATCTAGGATGTGTTCACAAGCAGAGGCTGTGCAGACTCCCCACATCTCACTACCAGTTAGAGTTCTCTGAAGGTATCAACTGACAATCCAGAATTTTCATTTCCTAGAGGAATGACTACACATTATGCTCTGTCTTGCTTATCCTCTTGTATAAATTTTGCATCTATGGATAGTAGCTCCCCAAAGAATGAAGGGTCTTCAGTCCTAATACCTCTTGCAAAGACTGCTGCTATGTTTTTGTGGTGCATAGACTTGCATTTAAATATTATCACATAAAATTCAAAGCATTTGGAGCATGCACCATATTCCCTCTAAGGGAATATTCTCATTATTAGGCTAAAAAAATCCACCTGATTCTTGTTTAGTCTTTCATTCTGGCCTCATGAATATTGAGTTTCTTGCTATACAGTAGTTCTTACTGCACTGCATGCAGCCATTAGTAGTTACAGTACTCTCCTAGGAACTTGAAGCCATGAGTTCAGTTGTGGGGCTGAGCACTCTAATGCTAGGAAAAAGGTATTCGTATCACCATGCTTGTCATACACAGTCAGTGTCTGTTTGCCAAAGAGGACTCAGCATTGTGAATCCTGAGGGAACGGATGCTTACCAAGTTAGGTGCCTCAGCGTGCATTCTGTCTGCATAATGCCTCCTTTTGAGAAGGTGTAACATCCGGGAGCACTACGTATCCCAGAGAGTTGTTCAGGCTCCATTTATTGTCCATAGAAGCGAAGACCTTTGAAGGCTGTATAAAAAGCCTACACTCCTAGTTTAAATGCTGTTATCATAGTGTGTCTGCTTTTTGCAATGCCTTATACAAAGTCTTTTAGTGGCAAAAATGGTCACTAAAATCTTGTTACTTTTTAGGCGCTATGGTGTCTGAGGTAGGCACATGAAACAGGTGGTCTGAGTATGATCTTTCATGTCTTTTATTTCCTAACTGAGTTAGCAAACTTTGAGAGTCCTACATCAAGTTGAAAACAATACACTTTTTTGTTTGTATTTCATCTGAAGTCGACAAGGGTGCACAATATTTTTAATAGTGTTGTGTCATGTACATGGTTTTAAACTGTTCCACTAAATAGATGCATTATTTAAAGGAGATGAGTAGAACTAGTCCTGTATTTGACATACTTTCAAAAAGATATATTTAATAAAATGTATTCGGCAGGTTATGTTCTCAGTGGATTTCCTTCTCTCTCAGAGGAATACATGACTGTTTCACAGCAAATAGAAAAAATAAAGAATCTAAAATTAAAACCAGATTTCCTGATTAACATTAAGGTAATGTCATCTACAGTAACTTGCTAGTAATTTTCCTAATTATTAGTAGACTTATATGCTGCATAAGTCAAAAGATCATATTTTCCCCTGTGCATTTGAGTGTAGTATTTATTTAGGAATAAGAAATTGTTCTCTTTTATATTAGAATGGAATTACACTACTTTGTTTCCTTGTAAGCATTGCTCCTGTAAAATAATGAACATTTCCTAAAACTTCAGTAGCAGTTACAGTCTTTTCACCTCTACCAATTAAAAGATACAGGTTTTCAAGAAAAGAAAACTTCGGATATCATGATTATTTCAGGATTTTGGATACATGTACATGTGCCATTCATGTATTTCAGGAAGAAACTTTTTACATACGGAATTTAGAAAGCAAATTGTAATATTTTTATATTCACTAATTGTGAAACTGCTTCTTAGTCATTATTAATTAATCTCATTTACAAATCTCAATTTCTTCATGAGTAGTAACGTGACATGCCAGATAACTTTACAAAAGTGACCCGGATATAACCAGAGAAACACAAATCATTGTTAGTGTAGGATTAAGAGGACTTTCTCAATGTAATAACACTAGAAAGAAAACAGAATTATTAACTCCATGTAGTTACATCATCTTCCCCTCTGGAAAGAAGACTGAGACTAATGCTTATTAAAAATCCTTGCCCCAAAGTCAAATGAGTAATTTTGCCTTTTATTTCAGTGGGTTGAAGCTGTTTTCACAGATATGTCAGAATTGTAAACATTTCCATTATATGAAAAAGAAAGGAAGAAGGAATATTCTAGATAACTCTGGGAATAATTAAATACTGTTATTAGCAGACCAGTTTAGAGAAATTTTGTCTCTCCAAGAAAAAGGGCAGAAAATGCACATTTGAAAAAAGAACCATATCTGATAAAATTTCTCCTTCCCTATTTCAGAATATGCTATGTCTTATAGCAGTCATGTCAGCTGTATGACTCACCATAGAAATACAGAAATATCCTGAAGTATTGTAATACTTCAAAGGATACCTCAGGAATTGAGTGTAGTGGGCCTATTGCTAGCAATGCGATCTCAAAAGCTCTGTATTTTCTGTAGAAATCAATTCTCCATTTGTGTAACAACTTGACCTTAACAACTACAATATTTTCTTGTTGTCTCAGGTTTTTCATACATGTTTGAAGGGTAGGTGTTAGTGATTTAGAAAGGAGGAGTGATTGTTTATTTTTTGTTGTGCCCCACCTGCAATTCAACAGTAGAATTTTAAGATACCCATCTTAAGACCTATTGGAGATCTGGGGACTCCAATTGCGTATTCATGCAAATACAGTTTAGGACAGGTCAGATAGAAGCTTTATTAACTATGATCATAGCGAACAAACGTTCAGACAGCACGTCCCCCTCTGCTCTCCTGTTCTCTGCTAAGTGATTGCGGAGACCCAACCAGCTTTTTGTTTCAGAAAAAAAAAGAAAGAGGAGAGGAAAACCAATCCTTTCAGTGTTAACAAAGTCAGGTATCCATCCCTGGAATGGACGGACTCCTTAAGTAGCTTGTTAACAGCCACAAATCTGAGAAAGAATCAAATAGTACACAATGTGTAGAAAGCAGGCTCTTGGTGGGGCCTGTAGGAGTGGCACAATCAGTATTACCTTAGCTCAGAACTGGGGAGGTGGAAAGAGTCATAGACTGTTAGCTTGTAGTTGAAAAGAATATTTTATTTAGGGTAAATGTTTTACTTTTAGGATATTTAATCTTAGGATAAACTTCTTAGGCAGACCTCTCAAATCTTAAATATTAATAATTTTACCACCACAGACCATATCCAGATTTATCTGTATTTAATGTTAAACTAAGTTGGCTACACTCTTGATATGGAATGTAAAATGCTGATGGGGAAAAACTATGAAAGTGTTTCAGTCTTTAATGTTTGCTGCTATTGAAAATTTTGTGTTTACTCAGAATGTTATTGGAGAAGAAGTTTTTGAATCCAAATGTTTGCCAAACAGGCTCCTACCCCCCATTCTGCAGTTTCAGGAAAAATAGTATTATTATAGCAGTACAATAAGCACATGATTTGCCTTTAATTATTCCTTGCTAGTGTTCAGATTATGACTTATGCCAAAGAATATCAGGACAAAGGCAACATCCTGATTCAGGGAAGGTATATCAGAGGAACCAGTGGGATCCTAACGTTATTGAAAAGCACAAGAAAGAGAAAGGTCAGCATGAAGAAGAGAATGAAGAACAAGATGAAGAGCAGGAAGAAGAGGTAAATATTGCCAATTTCTAAACAGTGCAAAGTATTGTAACGTACTCTAGACAAAGCAGAACAAATTCTGATATTCTAAAATATCACTATACTACACTATGAATTAATTTTGCTCAACTTTAATCTTAGTTCAGTTTCTGTTTGGCTTTAAGAGATGTGTGATAATACTTAATTGGTAGGTTTAAATGACAGCAAATGGTGATTATTGTGTAGCTTAACCTGGATTCAGTCTCTAACTCAGAAGTCACTGAAGTGTTTCTTGCCATAAGTTAAAAGGGTGTATCAGGAGAATGGTGACTCTATTGTCTGTTTCTTGGTCTAAGCAAATAAAAGGTTTCTTAATTTTTGGTTGTTGTAGCAAGTTTTGCTAGTATTTGCAGGATACTAGCTTGTTTTCTGGTTTTGGTGTTAAACTACTACAAATGGATTTTCTTTTTTTTCCATAAAGATAATAATTTTTAATTCAGGTTGAATTGTTCTGGTTTATAATGTTGACCAGAGGCTTATCGATGCAAGTTCTAGGCCCATTCCTCTCAATTTGCAAAATTACACTTCATCAGGATCGGATCACAGTGAGCAATCACTGGACTCAATACTTATTGCAATACTCTGGAAAGCTACTTTATTTACCTTTGAGTAAAGACAAAAATTGTTTTAGTATGTTATTTTACTTCTGTGTCTTGAAATAGTTAACTTTCCATTCTGCAGACTGCAGAAGAGCTGTCAGAATTTTTGCATCACTTAGTGCAAAGGCCTGAAGATATTCTTGAAAATGCGGAGGAAAGAGTTGGAACGTATAAGGATATAATGCTTCATCCTTTAGAAGTAAGAAAAAGCAAAATAATGATGATTGTGCATAACAAAAGATTTTTTTTTTAATATCTTGCACAGTTGGGGTTTTTTTTTTTAGTTTGAGATTTGTTGTATGGAGGTGGGCACAAGGCATGCTACAATGTATCCTCAAGTTCTGAAATTCATACTGAAATCAATGGCAAAAAGTTGTCATCTGTAGGTGTTGTTTCTACACTGGAGTCAAGATAAAGTAATCCACTTTGAGTTTTTAAAATTAAACCATACCTGCCACCACTGACGCTTCCTAAATCTAGGAAGTGAAGTATTTGAAGTGCCCAGTGTGTTACCACAATTACCAGAGTCCATTCTAGCACGCAATCCCCAAAATCTGCTGTTTGCATCCATTGTCTTCCTCACCTGCAGCATTGCTTGCAGATTCATATACACAATAATTAGGCCATCAGTTTGCGTTATTACCTGTTTCATTTCTGCAGCTGTGACATGGGGTTTTTTTCTTTCCTTGTTGTGTTAAGGGAAGTTGGATTTACCATTTATCTTTTTTTTTTTTTTAATCCAAAAAACCACAAAATGTCCAAAGCAGGAATTTTTTCCCTTTCCCTTCCCTTCCCTTCCCTTCC